CAGCTATGGCCATGGGCAAACATATTCCTAAAGTAATGAGTTTCTTTCATCTTACATAAGGTTATATGAAAAACACCAATTATGCAGTTTCTACTTGAAATTATGGGGAGGTCACTTTGTAATGTGACAACCTAATTTATTTGATAGTTTTAAGTTCTTTCTTGTAACTTCTGCCCGTTCTAATTTAATGCCTCTTCTGCATTAGTCTTCCTTGTATTTGGGGACGTTTATTCCTCATACCTCCCTTCCCTCTAATCTTCTCCAGCCTAATCTTTAGGTCAGCTTTTCACGTATCCCGTTAAAACCTTCAATAGCTACTCTCTGTCTATGGGATAGATTTTCAGCTCCACTCTGGACATTTGTAGCCCTGCACCATCTAGACCTAACCAACACCGACAGTCTTGTCTTAGACCACTGCCCTTTACACAATAAACCAGAATACACTATGGGCTTGAACTGCTTTGATGCTAAGGTTTAGATTGTTTCCTACATCAAGAATGGTCTCGAACTTCCACCTAGACAGTGTGATGTAGTGGCAATAGCATTTAACCTGAGGACATCAGAGTTGTAATCTTAGTTTCAATACTTATGGCCAACCACAGACAAGTATCTTAGTTTGTTTTCCTAATCAGTAAAATGGGGAGGATACTTGTGCTACTTACCTTCATGATATTTCTGTAAGGAAATGTATACACCAATAAAACTGTTACTACATTTTTGCCCTTCAGAGAAAAATAGATTTAATGTGGAAATCCTTCAAGGCTCAGTTCAACCACTCCTCCAGGAAGCCTTCCCCACATCCCACCAACCCCATCCCTTCTTTTTTTTTTTTTTTGCTTTGGTAGTTGGGGTTAAGTGACTTACCCAGGGCCACACAGCTAGTAAGTGTCAAGTGTTTGGTCTGAGGCCAAATTTGAACTCAGGTCCTCCTGACTTCAGGGCCGGTGCTCTATCCACTGCGCCACCTAGCTGCCCCCAACCCCATCCTTTCAAAGGTTATTTTAAGACCAGATGATTCTGCTGACACCATCTCTGACACATAATTTAGGCAGACAGTTCAGCCATTTGAATTTGATATAACTATGAAAAGATCCTTGTTATCTTTAAGGCCCAGTTCAAATGCCACCTCTTCCATGAAGCCCATCAGTGACTCCCTCAGCTAGAAGTGATCTTTCCCCCTACTGGGCCAATTCTACTCAGATGACGAATGTAAACCCATATCTTGACCAGCTGAGATGATTGCCCAAACTAATTCATTTTTGTTTCCTCAGCACCTATGTGCAGGGGCTCACATACAGCTATGTGCTTGACCAGTATTTACAATGGAAGGGACTTCAGAGGCATAGTCAATGTGACTATTTTACAGAAGGGGAAAGTGAAACTGAACGCTAGTTTTCTGACTCCAAGTCCAGTGCCCTCTTAGGAAGTAACTCAAGGGTCCTATTGGAGGCTCCAGCAGGACCATCAGCAGACCTTGGAAAGAGCCAAACTTAGCTCCAAAGAAAAGATCTGAGAATGTTAGTGGGGAGGGAACTATGAGTGTGTAATTCCACATACAATGGCAGACTTGGTTCATAGATTTAATTTTGCACAGTGTTGTGTTGTGTTTTTTTTAATCCTTTATTATGAGAGGGTTCTTTGAGAGGGTGAGGTATATACTGGGAAATGAGAGGTCAGGGATCCTCACAGGATGATAGCCAGCCTGATAAGGTAGAATAGGGTTTCCCTCATCCCCTGCTCTGCAGAGCCATAAATTATTTGATTTTGGATGCAACATCAGAGAGAAGGGAATGCTCATTATTGACTAGTAACCTCTGGGACTACAGCCCTTAAGTCAAGCAAAAGCCTAGCATTATGCCATTTAGGAATGGGGCTATTAAATGACCAAAATTAAAAGAAGCAGGTATAAGAATGAGAAGCAACATGTACGGCAGGGTCCCTTCTACTTTCATAACTAATGGAAGAATTTCGCTCTAAGGAAGGACATCTTGAAGAGGCAGAACTATGCTATGTTCTACACCTACCCCACTTCCTCACCCCCCAACCGCTCTGTGGATACCTGTGACACAAATGCACATCCAAGACCAGTTAGCTTCCACCTAATCTCAGGATGACACTGACCAATTCTTCAAAATATTTCATGGCACAAAAGGTCTCAGTCACATTCCACCTTCTCCTAACCTCTCCAGCCCATAGAATTCCCTTTCCACTTCCTGATCTCTCGTAAGTATTACATGTACATACCAATCATCTCCCAGGCAAAATCACAGGCAGAGAATGTATCACTTGTATTTCACACCAGAACCGTTTGGGCACACAGCCACAGCAGCTGGCACTTAGTGTTTGATGAAACAACTTGAAATATATGCAGAGATTGTGAGTATTCTTTCAATGAACATTAATGCTAATGACCCAAACATAGTTAAATTGGCCAGCACTAAGCAGGCATCTAGAAGACTAGATTACTTTCTTCCCATTAAAAAGTTGGCTCTTCACAAATTCCCTAGAGTTCAGTATACACAAAGACCAATGCTCTCTCCTTTGGCTTACCCACACCCTAACATGATCCTGGCCCATGCCTCCTTTGAGATAGTACAGTCCCCAAATAGCTCGCCAACTTGTGGCCCTTCCCTCAGGGGGCCTAGTCTGTGGATATTCCAGTTCGGTGCCTGAACCACTAGTGAGTAACTTTACCCAAGTTCACAGAGGAACTCCACCCCAATGAACACAATCCATACTGGTTATGCCCGCACTGCTCACTTCCAGAATCGTGTCAATACAATATAGACTTTTAATTACTCTGCATGGACGTTACATTTCAGGGGTAGCATGCCCTGAGGAGATCAGTAGGAAGTCTGTGACTGCTGTTGGCGGTAGCCTCCCCGACGCATATAGCCTCCCTCATTTTTTCGGTAGCCATCTTTTTGATCTGGAGGGGGAAGAGAGAAAGTCAAAATAGAAAGGAAAAAATTGAACAGTGATGCCAGCGACAAGAGAGTGAATGGGGCTGGGAGTGTAAATGGAGGAGTCTCACCTCTAAAATAACCTCCATAGGTCCCCTGCTTATGGTCAAAGACACGCTCATTGTTTTCCACCAAACTACCTAGTTTTTCTGCCAGCTGCAGGGCCAGGTTCTGCTGGGCAGTGGGCTCAGTGCGGTGCATCACCACTGTCTGTGTTGGCTGGTCCAGAGAGGCCTTAGTTTGGGGAGCACAGAGGGAAATGAATGGGATTAGTCAGACAGAGCCAGAATGAAATCTATTTCCCTTACTCTGGTTTCTTTCCTCTGAAAAGAACTGCTGTCCCCTCCCTCAAGGATCTACCACCCTCCTTCCCTCTTTACCATAAGTTCCTCACTAATGATCATTTTGCTGATTATGGAATGAACAGTGGGCAGATCCAGCTGGAACATATCAGACAAGGTCTCCATGCTGGAAGAGGAGGAAAAAATTAGGAAAGCAGAGCTATTTATCAACTAAGCCTGTCCCTTTTCCCTCTCAAGACACAGAATCCCTATAGCCTCAAACCTGATAGAGTCATAGACACTGCTATAGGTGAAAAGATAGGTACGCAATGACTCTTCCTGGATCTTTCTGTGGGGGAAAAAGGAGAAAGGTGACTAAGTAAAGGATCTTATCTTCCATTTCCCCCCCACCCAAACAGCCCTTGGTGCTCCCTCCCCTCTGTCTAGCACCAGCACATCAAGGTCTCTTCATTCCCATTCTTACCTGACTAGCATGGTACGGACTTTGTTGGCCTCAGGGAACAAATCCCAAACTTTTCCATTCATCTTCTCATTAATAATAAAGCTGTGGCAAGTCTTCCAGTCACCCATCTTCATGGCTTTAGAAGCTGCTACTACATGTTCCCTCATTGACTCAGGTGGACCTAGAGAATTGGACAGGTGGTAGAAGGAGGCCTGGGATGCCATTTAAAGGAGAAGAACTTCTAGAAGCAGGCTAGGTCCTTGTCTTGAAGGACAGAAAGACAGAGTTCTAGTACTGGTGCTACGCCTAACTAGCTGTGTGACCTGAGGCAAATAAATCACTCTCCATTTCATTTATAAAATGAGAAGACACTATCTATAAAGGTCCTTTTCACCTCTAACATTCTGTGACTTCATTAAGGGAGAACTTTCTGCTGCAATGAAATGTTTAAATCTTCACAGACACAAGCGAGAGCTGGAGAGAGGGACTGTGAACACACTCTAGGAAACGCTTCTGCACTTGCTTTATGAAAGAGCCATTGTAGGGGGCAGCTAGGTGGCACAGTGGATAGAGCACTGGCCCTGAATTCAGGAGGACCTGAGTTCAAATCCGGCCTCAGACCAAACACTTGACACTCACTAGCTGTGTGACCCTGGGCAAGTCACTTAACCCCAAATGCCTAAAAACAAAAACAAAAAACAAAACCAAACCAAAAAAAAAGAGCCACTGTACCATAAATCAGCACCCAGTAAAAACAGCTCTAAGTGTGGCAAAGAATCTTCCCACTGAGAACAGACACTCAGGAGCACACAGGAGTGAGACCACAGCCAAGCTAAATACCCCAAGATGCTGTAGCTCACCAAGCAAGGGCTGCCGCTCGCCCACTCGCAGTTGGTGATGGAACTGTTTGCTGATCATGCGCCTCCGAGCATCACTTTCGTGGGCTGCCATGTATGGGATCTCCAGTAGCATGGCAGATACCAAATAGACACACTCAAGCAGCTCCAGGTTGATATGCAAGTGGAAGGGCACCTGACGTCGACGCTCCACCTTCTCCTGCTCCTGATTTCGCTCCTGCAGGCTCCTAAGCAGTAGACCCTGTCCTAGCAGCTCCTTAGCGCGGCCGCTGGACTGAATGTCCAGCAAGGCATTGTGTGCATCTTTAGTTAGGCCCTGGCGGAAAGCACAGATGCCCAACTGTACCATGGTACGGTTATAAAGGATCTAGGTAGAAAGAAAAATACAGCCCATTAGAAGGAAGAATCATGGGAGTTTCCACACATGACATCCAACTTAAATTCTGTTGAGAATAAACTCTGCAGTCTCATACAACATTGTGAACCCAGGACTTAGTATTTGATGAACAAGGATAAAGACTTCCACCTGTGCTATCATTAGTCTAGGTAACTCCCAGATGAAAAAGCTCCCTCTGATTAATGAAGGTCAAGGTTTTCTCAGCATCTTAATAGAACTGCCTTGGGCACCGGGTGGAGTAAGTGACTTGCTGAGGGTCACGAATGATAGCATGTACCAGAGGATGGACGTGAACTCGGGTCTTCCTGGATGTAAGGCTAGCTCTTGTTCAGTAGAACAAGGTGTGATTGTGCCAAGGACAGAAGCCTATTTATTCTAGCTTCTTCCTTTTCCCTCTATAGTACAAAGCCTGTCTGATGACCGAACGCTCACCCTATCCCAATCCTCTAGTTCTTTTGACACCTAGAATCTACACAGCCCTTTTCTGACACCCACCATCTGTGGTGTTATGATCCCCATTTTACAAATGAGGAAACCAAAGTTCAGAAAGAAGTGACTTGTTCCCAGAGCTAACTAAGTATCTGAGCTGGAAAGCAAACCTGGGTCAATCTTCTCCAACTACAACACTCTTCCCACTATGCCCGGAAGTCTATCTTTTTTGTGTCCTGGAACTCTTTGGCAGCCTGGTGAAGCCCACGGATCCCAGGCACATTGAAATATAGCTAAGAATCCCTGACTTGAACTATGCTGAACAAATTATCTCACAAATGGCTCATAAAACTAACAGTTAAAGATTCCAAATCCTGACTATACCCCAGACCTCGTTCCATAAAAAGTGCACTTTGTAACCCAATTTAGTATGTCAGGTAATGACTGACTTATAAACTCAGAGAAGTCATTTCCCCTCTGCAGTTGGAAAGGTCTGTAAACTATTCAGAATGTGCTGGTACCAGACGTATCTACCCTAACCACAGATACTGTTGCCAGGGAAGCTACCACCACTAGAAAAGACTGAGATGTGCAATGAGTGTATGCAATCAGACCTTAGAATTATTTTCCACAATTATAAATGTTGTGGTTAATGTAAGAGCATTATTTTGCATTTCAAGCATATCATGAGGTAAAATATTTTAGTAGGTTGACCTAGCAATCTCAAAGACCACTTTTTTTATAGATAGCCATATTTCAAATTTCAAAGAACTTAGAATACAACATAGATGTTAGTGGTTTTCTAAGTCAATTAAGTAGCCTACAGGGATGATCATTTTTATTTGTGTTCAACACCACAGATCACTTGAATGGTTAAAGCTACAAAGGGATATTTTGGGGCAAAAAATGTCATTCACTTGGGAGTCCATGAAAGAGCTGGAAACTCTAACAACTAAGGGGGGGCCCCCACAAGACAAGATAAATCTGGTCAGCTATAGCCAGAAGTACTATTCAGTTTGGAATTTAGTTTTCTAACAACCTTACTAACCTGACATTATCTCTGAATTTGTTTGAAATACTTTTGTAGCCTAGAGGATGTGCCCTCAAGGGTGAAAAGTACATGTGTACTCAGACACGAAGATCAAAGAGATTTTTATATATTATTTTTTGAGTTCAATAATCATCGAAAAGTAATGAAAAGTGAAAGCTCTACGGCTAAAAGCAAGATCCTCTGGATGTGTTCCAAGGAAAATCTGAGATTCTGATGAAGCTGACCCAGTTCAGAGAGCCCCAAAACCAAAGACTGCTTCCTTTACATTCTTGGCTCCCCAACTAGACTAAGTTCCTCAAGTGTAAGGTCTGTACATTCCCCAGGGCACTTAGCAGTGCTCTAAATGGTAGTCACTCCATGTTTCTTGATTAATGACAAACCGGAGCATCAAAGACATGAAGAATTAGAGACTCTGAGTCTCTAACTTAAATTAAATGTTCATGAGCCAGACTTCTAGTTCTTCTGGTTAAACTAGTCTGTAACTAGAGAGGAACCCAGACCTGGCTCTTCCCCCTCCTGAACTCATGGATTCCGGGCCCCTCTCCAACCAAGGGAACTGATCTTGAATCCATCCTGAGCTTCCCTTTAAAAACCCTGCCCCTGCTACCCCTACCCTCCCACCTGCACAGGAGGGTCTGCGTGCTGAATGTTGTCCTGTAGGTGGCTCATGAGCATGAGGTCCCGAGCCTGGTACCAGCGAGAGTGAAGAGCATGGTGGTAGATGTGGCAGAGGATTGCACACGTCCGAATTCTGTCTGTCCGATCCTTGGCATATATGTACTTGCACAGCCTCTCCATCAGTACAGCAGAATCCTCACCCTCATTTTCAGCCTGATCTTGCTCTGACTGGAAGGAAGAACAAAGAATATGGCTGGGGTTCAGAGTGACAGAAACTAAGAAATCCCAGGCACAACCTGTCTCTCAGCACCATCCTCATAAACACTAGATTTCCTAGCAATTCCAAAAAAGACGTATCATCAAGTCTATTCCGATCTTGTCCCACAACATGAGTGATAAATGTGAAAGTCAACAGCCCAAAAGTCCTGAAGGTCTTTTCTCCCCAGCCCTTGTACCTTTGAGGACCCTTCTGGGGGAGCAAGCTGTCGCTGATGGGCCTTATAGTCAAACTTATAATATGTATGGAGCACACGGCGAAGGTAAATGCGGCAGATCTCCTCAGTTGTTCCTTTTTCCTGCAAGTATCGCTGAACACGCTCAATGATGGCACAGACACGTGCCTCATCCTTGAGATGCTCCACATATTCTGGTATTTAGAAAAAAAAGTTTTGGTTATTTTTTCAACCCCAGAAATCTCATAGTAACAATAGCAAGTTAAACCCTTTAAGATTTGAAAAGTGCTTTATATCCCCTTATCTCATTTGATCTTCCAGAACAACCCTGTGAAGTAAAGTATCACTAACTCCATGTCATAGATGAGAAAATTAAGCCTCCAAGAGGTTAAGTGATTTAAATATGATCAAACAGTAAATTCCAGAGGTACATGTGAGCCCAGATATTCTTGCCTCTCAGTCCATGCCTAGTGCTACTGATAATACGACCACCCAGCCCTGGGCCTGTCTTTCCCAATTACTCCTCCATTGACCAGTTGTCCGGATCTATATCTTGCCACTGGATCCAGATGACTCTGGAGGAGAGTGAGACTGGTGACTTTGCACAGCCCTGCCTCACTTAAATCCAATTTACTTGCAAGTCAAGATATCACCTTCCCAGTGTCATTGGTCCTCTTCAAGAACAAAGGACAAATAACTAACAAACTGCAAGTAGTGGTACTAGCTGACCCATCAGGGACTCGTGTGAACAATTCAAATTGGGCAATACTGCTGCTGCTTCTTCCTTCCTTTCTCTTCTTCCTACTCTCCCTTTGTCCACACAGGGAATCATACCCTTGTCTGTGGGTGTTCTGCCCAAAGGAATATCAATTTTGATTGCTGAAACCTCACGCGATATCTTGGGATTTATGGGCTGAATTTTTTTCTCTTCCCTTATTTATTCTATCATTAAAAAAAACACTGGGACATTTTTGCCCAAGTAGTTTCATTTCTGATTTCTTGAAATACAGTACAGAAACACATTGGGATTCAAAACTATTAGACGAAGCCTCAAACCCAGATCACCCAGGCTCTCACTGACTGGCCAACAACAGGTCCCAGCCCAAGCCTCACAGGGTCACTGTTTGGGTTTTGATAGCTGAAAGTGAGTGTAAATAGCAACTGTTTCACTTTTGGTTAGAAAGCCTGAGGGTCTTCTCCTCCCAGACTGATTTATTTTTTTTTTGACTAGGTAAAAGAGGCCATTTTTTGCCTCATTTCTTACCTAGCCTTAATCACTGAATGAGTGTTGCCTCAGACAAACTGAGACCTGGGAAAGACCTTAGCTTGAAAAGGCCAAGGTCTCCCCACTGCATCAGGGCCATCTCCAGTTGTCCTGATCTACATCTTGCCTCTGGACCCAGATAGCTCCAGAGGAGCAAGGCTGATGACTTTGCACAGCCCTGCTTCACTTAAATCCAATTCACTTGCAAGTCATCACATCACCTTCCAGATGTCATTGGTCCTCTTTGAGAACAAGGACAAAGAAGAACAGTGCACTACATAAAAGATTTCCTCCCACAGGTCTTTGTTTAGGTTGCTCCACCTAAAATATCTCAATCAAAGCATATAATATTACCAAAGACCTCTCCAGCCCCTCTTATATCTGTCCCCTTCTCTCTATTTGAAGAATTACCCCTCTAGTTCAGGATAGTTATCACCTCTGCCCTGAATTTGTTTAGAACATTTTTGTAGTCTGGAATAGGTGCCCTCAGGAATGAGAAGGTAAAGAAGCCATGTAAAACTTAAAGACCAGGAAGTTTCAAAGAGCCTTCCCATAGTCTGGGTTCAGTAATCAGTGAAAATGCTATTAAAAATAGCATCCTAATTGATCTCCCTACTTCCAGTCTCACCCCATACCAATCCATCTTCCACAAACTGCCAAAGTAATTTTCCCAAAGTGTAGCTCTAACAGTGTCAATGCCCTATTCAAACTCCAGGGTCCCTTTTACCTCTAGGATGAAATAAACTCTCATTTGACACTGAAAGCCCTTTACTATGGGGACTCATCCTACCTTTCTAGACTTTTTATACAATTTTTGTTGTTGTTGTTGTTCACTTGTGTCTAACTCTCTGCGACCCCATTTGGGGTTTTCTTGGCAAAGTACTGGAGGGCTTTGCCATTTCCTTCTCTAGCTCATCTTGCTTTTTTTTTTTGTGGGGGTTATTGTTGTTTTTTTCTAGGCAATGGGGTTAAGTGACTTGCCCAGGGTCACACAGCTAGTAAGTGTCAAGTGTCTGAGGCTGGATTTGAACTCAGGTCCTCCTGACCCCAGGGCCCATGCTCTATCCACCTCGCCACCTAGCTGATCTTACAGATGAGGAACTGAAGCAAACAGAGTTAAGTGACTTGCCCAGGGTCAGGAAGATGAGTCTTCCTGACTCTAGGCCCAGCACTATAATCCATTGTGCCACCTAGCTGCCCTTTCACCATTTTACATGGGGATAACTGAACATTAGGTAGGTAGTATAGTTTTGGGTTTTTTTTTTGCTTTCCTAGTGTTTTCCATTCATTAACAATAAAAAATTTTTTATTTTACTCAACAAAGTAAAACGAGTACCAATTTTGAGAATTTATACACAATACTCCGGTCCCAGTCAAACTGGCTGTCTCTCAGTTTCTCCCAGCCTTCTCTTGTCTCCAGACCTCTACACACCTACTGGAATTCGCTCCCTGACTCATTATAGAGTCCCTAGATTCCTTCCTTCAAAGCTTAGTTCAAGCATGACCTACATGAAGCCTTTCCTTTCCCTGATCCCCCAGCATTTTGTATATATCTGTATTTGTATTCAACTTCCCTTATTACTCGAAGGTTCCCCAAATGTCAGAGAATGAATGCTTACAGTTTAACCATGAATACCTACCGAAACCTTACTTTCAAGGTCTAGCTTCAAATGCCACTACCTGTACTTCTGAAACCTTCCCTCATCACCCTATACAGAAAAATTTTAAAAATCACTCCCTCCTCCAAAATGGCACAAAACTGACCACTGGCACCACCCATGCTGCACTTAAAAAGAGCTTTGTATTTTGGTTATTTGTGCATGTCTTTTTTTCCCTAGTTCATAAAATTCAGGGATTGTCTATTGAATTTCTTTGTATCTGTCCCTCACAGAGTCTTGTGAATAGGCAATCAATATTTGATTTGATTAGTCATAGTAAACTTCTATAACAGGCTAGTTAAGGCAAAGCCATCTACCAGACAAACCACCTTTGTTGGTGATGATGCTACTCACTCATTCACTGAACAAGACAACAATCAACAACTACGCCCACCACCCAACCAGAAAATTTTGGTCCCTAGTAGCAATCAGAAAAATATAAATTTCAAGCTCTGATTTTATCCATTTGAGAGGAAGGCAGTGATGGCTGAATTTTCTCCTGGCCACATTTTACATTATTTTTGTGTATTCCAGTTACCCTAAGCCAGGCCCTCAAAAAGATTTTGGGTGGCAGAGAAACATGTAGAAGATGTAAATACAGGCCTGCTCTAAGCATATCTGCCCAATCTCACCTTGGGAATGAGGATCTGTGTTCTGCATGATCTTGGTAAACTCTTCATCCATCCTTTCCACAAGAGTTAGGATACAACCACGAACACGAAGTGGCTGAGGTGGGAAGAAAGCAGGAGGAGGAGTAGTAGCATTAGTAGTTGTCATCAATTCCAATCCAAGAACAAGACCCACCAGGTCTCTACCCCAGTTGAATTCACTTTTCCTTTCCCCCAATCCCCTCTCAAACTTCTCATTTTCCTTTTCCTAATTTACCTGCTCAAAATTGGATAGGTTCTCACTCTCTTCCAAGATATTCTCTCCAACAAAGATGTTAGGGTTTGCAAATAAAATATCCATCAATTCATTGATGCAGTCTAAGCACTTCTGCCACATCTCTGGCTGCCAAAAAGTGAGGAAAAAAAAAAAGGTTAAGGTACAAATGTGAATATGGAGTCTGAACACACTTTTCTTCCTTTTAAGAACTTTCATTGGGCCAGCTAGGTGGCGCAGTGGATGGAGCACCAGCCCTGAAGTCAGGAGGACCTGAGTTCAAATCTGGCCTCAGACCAAACACTTGACACTTACTAGCTTAGCTGTGTGACCCTGGGCAAGTCACTTAACCCCAGTTGCAAAAAAAAAAAAAAAAAAAAAAAGGACTTTCATCCTTCTAATACTCTGCCTTAAGCACTTTTTAAAAACAACTTATACAAATGAGATTGTGCTGTTCTGTTCTTCCTGCTATTCATATAGCAGCAAAGGCTCCACAGCCAAATTTTAAATGCTCTTTCCTCAAAGCCAGTCCCAATTCTTAAACCCCCAAATACTCTCACTCTCACCTTCATATACGTGGCCAGGTTGGGGTTGTAGTCATAGAGGGAAGCAATGATGTTGAATTTGATCTTGACAATCACTCCTTCACCTAGATTATTTTCTGCCGTGATCTGAACCAGCAGTTGCAGCAGCTCAATTTGGGCTGCACTGTGTAGGGATAGAAAAGGTTTAAAGGACAAACCTCTAAAGCCCAAACCAACAAAACATCTCTTTCTTCTCTTGGGCTCCAGCCTCCCACTTTTCCTGCCAGCAACACTTTGGTGAATGCCTTCTTTCTTTAGAGTTTCCAAATCCAAAGCTCCCTCTCATCGACCCTTCCTCCCCATGGTGGATAGAATAAAAAACAGTGACAAGCCTCACCGGTCAGTTCCTTTCTTGCCACGAGCTTGCAGGATTTCATTCAGCTTCTTGACTACAATTGCATGGGTAATCTCTGTTCCCTTGGCAAACATTTTAGGCTTCTCCTAGGCAACACATGCCCCCGTCACACCCAAGGCCATCAAAGTACTCTTCAATAGAATTCTCACCCTTTCTGGCCTTGACAGTATTTTTAGGCTTCCCCATTACCCTCTTTTTAATACCCATAATCTCCCACATACCGCATATCAGCCCCAAAAACCTCACCTTGACCAGCGGTGCCCCTCCTCGAACCCTCTCCCACTCCCCGCCTTCATTATCCTCCTCCTCCTCATCTAGGCGCTTGGATTTTCTAGGCTCATGCTTTTTCTTGGCTTTGTCCTCTCGCTTCTTCTCTGCAGCCTTTTTCTCAGTGGTGCTCTCTCTGCAAGGGGATTTATCAGGGAAGGTGTGAAATTAGACCTGGTGCCCTGAGAGAGTCTCAACACTCAGCTCTACTATTCTACCATTCCTCAGCTTCCCTTCTCTCTCCTGACCTAATTCCAGGCCCTAGCTGGATGCAGAGGATCTACGGCTCACCCTCAACCACAAAAGGAAATGGCATGCCCAACGCAAGTGCCCAGGAAAATATTCTTTCACAGTAACATGGTTAATTTATCATTGTACAAGCTGGATTTTTGCACTTTAGCTACCCATTTAGAACATTATTCCTGTGGAACTGCCATAATGCCATACTTTTTAACAAAAGTATGTTAAGAATTGCTAGGCCAACATCCTGCTACAGCCAAACCCAAGAGGAGATAGAAAGCAAGTATAAGGTTCCATAACTGGAGTATTTGATTTTAAAACTAATCTAACTTAGCTCCACAACTTCCCTTGCTTGACTCACTTTTTAAGGAATTTGGAAGCCAACACAGTATATTTCCCATCTTCCTCCTCTGAGTCAGAGTCTGAGGAAGTGGAATCTGAACCCCAGTCTTCATCATCATCAGAATCCTCAGAGTCCTCATCTTCATCCTTAAAGATGATACAACAGAAGATGAACAAAAATTAATATGCAGTTTGAAGGTGGCAAGGCTATTTCTGACATTTTCATGGAGTTTCCATTATGCGGAAACAAATTTTATGAGGCTCCTCCAAGGACCCAACTCTGACCTGCAGCAGGCAGACTACCCTCATCCCCGTCTTCTCCCCCAGATCTCACCTCCATCTTCTTGAGGAACTTTCGACTTTCCCCAGATGGTGCCTCAGACTTTTTCTTCAGGAAACTTGTGGCACTAAGACCATCCTCGTCCTCATCTGAAGAGGAAGAACCTGGAAAGGAAATCCAAGTGAGATTAAACAAGTAGGAACAAGACTATGGAACAATAAGGGGCAGCTAGGTGGGGCAGTAGACAGACCACCAGCCCTGGAGTCAAGAGAACCTGAGTTCAAATCCAGCCTCAGACACATAACACTTACTACCTGTGTGACTCAGGGCAACTCACTTAACCCCAATAGATTCACAAAAAACGCCCAAACAAAGACTACGGAATAATAAAGAAACCAAAGTAAGGAAACCTCCCCCCCCACACACATTCTGCCTTCTTTCTTTCCAATCAGTACTTAACTCTTACCTTCTGAGTCCTCCTCATTTTTCTCAGCATCCTCATCTGCAGACTGCTCAGGGTTCTAGAGGTGGAGAACAGCAGGGAAGTGAGAGATGCTGCCACTTCTTGAAAACATCTGGTTCCATCCCACCCCAATAAAGTATCCTCATGAGCCAACACTGCCTTGTGCCACACTCCAGCTCCCCAGTCCTGCCTATTTGTCATTTGGTCTAATCCAATGCCTAGCACAATGTTGGCATTATAGCACTTAACAAATGCTCAATGAATGAAATTAGCACAGAATACTGTAGTGCACTGCAATTTTCCTGACCTGTTTGTAACTGGTGATCTGGGCTTCATAATCCCGATTATATTTACGGATCTTCTGACGCAAGGTGCTCAGAGCCTTGGCATTGTTCTTATTCATCTTCTTCTTTCCCTCCTTGTCCTCCCATAGCTAAGGGACCAAAAATAAAAGTAAAAGAAAAAGGAAAATAAAAGGTTGCAACAAAAGGGCAAGACAGTGAGACTGAGATGCTTTCTCAATCCCAGCTTCAGGGCGGAAACAGAATCCCAATTTTAAGTCTCTTCTGTCAAACTAAAATCCCCACCCCAGCCTCAAACCTCATTGAGATAGTCCTCCAGATCAGCCAGGATGCGGATATAGAATCGGGGGACACCTTCTTTGTCCACAATGCTCTTGGCTTTTCCAAATGCCTTTCCCAGAAGCTCAAATTCCTCAAGACATTTAGTGACATCCCTAATTTTCATGGCATTCCGGATGGTCCGAATAAGGTTGGTCAGCTCCTCAAACCTAAGATGGGAGACGGAGGTCCAACATCACAGAGAAGCCCTTATACCACTCCTTTTCAAACCCCGAATAAGAAAATCAGGTGTCTCCCATCCTCTCCATCAACTACCAACAACAACCAAAAAAAAACTTCTTTAGCTTCTCCTTCACCTTTAGGGCCCTATCCATAACTACCAGATTCACCTTTTATCCTTGGCACTTCGAACAACTCGCTTAGTGTCCTCCTCATCTTCACTCAGCAGCAATGGCCTGTGGGGAGAAACTGATTACTGATGACCTTGCTCACAGAAGTCTTGAAAACACCCACCAATTCTTTTGATTGGGGCAGAAAGAAAAAAAGCGTTAAAAGATACATGCCAGTCAATGGAGCTGGCTGGGCATAAACTCCCCTATCCTACACTTTCTCTTCACTGTAGACTCGAGAATTATATGCTATTATATTCATCACCCCTCCCCCAAAAAATCAGGCCCACAATACACAAAGGCCTGTTTTAGGCATCTTGAGGCATACAAAGATGAGTTAAGATATGGTCCTTACCTTCAAAAGGCTGACAATACACACAAATAACTGCTGTACAAAGTCAATGAACACTGAAGGGCACTAAGTGAGTACAAGGGAGGTAAAAACAAAGTGCCAGATTGTTGTTCAGGAAGGAGAGGTCACTTCCTGCTGAAGTCAACGGAGGCTTCATGGAATAAGTGGCATTTTGAAGCTGGGCACCTTGAAAAATTGGTTGGATTTCTATAGTCATATATGATATGAAGAACATATCCCTACACAGGAGAATGGATAGTCTGGACTAGCTGGAGCTCAGGAGGATGTAAAAGGGAGGAATGTGAAATAAGGCTAAAAAGGTAGTTTGGGGCAGACAACATATGGCCCTGAATGACAAGCTACAGCTTGGACAGTAAGTATCGGGATACCATTGAAAGGTTTTAACCATAAGGGTGACATCAATCTTCCAGCCTGACAGTGTATGCAGAAGGAACTGTTGGGAAAAAAATTATGGAAGAAGGAAGACTCACTAGCAGACTAACCCAATAACTCTAAAACAGCAAGTAAACTTTGACTTCCCTGTCAGTCTCCTCTGCTGGATCTTCCTCCAGACACATTTACTCACAGTGGGCATTCCCCAAGGCTCTACCTTGGGGTTCTTCTCTCTTTTCCGTCTATACTATCTCACTTGGTCCTATAGGTTCAGTTTGTAGAGATGATCCAGCTCTAAATATCCAGTCTTAATTTCTCTCCTAAGCTCCAGTCACACATCATCAACATGTCCAAAACAGAACTCGTGCATTTCCTTTCCCTGCAAACCTCTTCTCCTATGATTTTCCTATTACTGCAGAGGGCACCACCATCATCCCAGTCACCCAGACTGACAACCCCAGTCTACCATTCTATAACATACAACTTCATTTCAGCCTTTCAGGTCCTTTCCAGTCTTAGCATAAAATGGAAGAGGGCAGAATTCTTGGAGATGTGTGAGTCAGTCAACATAAATTAGGCACTTACTATCTACCAGGCACTGGACCATGTGCTAGAGATACAAGAAAACGCCCTGTTCTCAAGAATTCATGTTCTAATAGAGACAACATACAAATAAGTATGTACAATGAAGATCAGCGTAAATAAAAGCTAATCTCAGAAGGAAGGAGTAGAGGGAAGACCTCCTTCACAAGACAGGATTTGGGACAAAAACCTGAAGTCAGGGAAGCTAGAAGGCAGAAGAGGTAAGGAGGGAGAGAATTCCAAGTACAGGAGATACATTCCAAGTACATGGAGTCAAAGAATATCAGGAGTGAGGAATAAGGCCAGGGTACCTTGGCTCTCCTTCAGGATAAAACACAAACTCCTTCCATTGGTATTTAAGGCCTTCCAAAATCTGTCACCAACCTACCTTTTTCAAGCCTGATTTCATACTACTATACTCCCTTTTACAAACTCTAGAGTTCAGCCAAACCAATCTTCTTACTCTTCCTGATTCTTTACACATTTCCTTTCTCCATCAATTAAAATTCTCACTCCTTCAAGGCACAATTCTCTCCTTGGTCATCCTGTCCTCTTCTATGGCTTTGAATTTAATCCACTTTTTAACTTCTTTATTTCTATCCAAGATACCAACACCCAATATAGGTGAGAAAAAAAAAAACAAAAGGCACTGACTTGGAGTCAGATGACCTGTGTTCAAATCTCACTGATGATGCTTATAACCAGTGTGACAAGGGGTCCCTTAACTTCCCTGATTCCATATCCTCATCTGTAAAAATGGAGTTGGCCTAGATTTTTTCTGATGTCCTTTAGCTCTAAATCTATGTATGATGCTTCTGGTTACCCAGGTTCACAACTCAAGTCATTTACCTGAGTCTTCTCTCTTCCTTGCTCCTCATATCCAACCCTTCAGTGGCCACATCTGGTCCATTCTATCACCACTGAGTATCTTCCTAACAACATATCACATATAACCCTCTGTCCACACAGCACCCACTCTAGTCCTTTTCACCTCGCATAAACTGTCAGCCTTCTGAATAGTCTCCCTACATCCAGCATGTTTCTTCTCCATAATCCATCTTCTATACAATGGACTGACAATCTTCAAAGCAAATTTTATGGAATACTATTGTGCTATAAGAAATGATGAACAGGCTGACTTCAGAAAAACCTGGAAAGACTTGTATGGTCTGATGCTGAGTAAAGTGAGCAGAACCAAGAGAATGCTGTACACAATAACAGCCACGTTGTGTGATGACTAATATTGATAAACTTAACCCTTCCTGGCAATACAAGGATCTAAGACATCTTCAGAGGCCTTATGATGGAAAATGCTAGCCACATCCAAAGAAAGAACTATGGAAGTTGAATTGCTATTTTTTTTTCTCTTCTGATGAGTTTTGTTTCCTCTTTCTGATGGTTCCTCCTATTGGTTTTAATTTTTACTTACAACATCACTAATGTGAAAATATGTTTAATAGGAATGTAAATGTATAGTCTATATCAGATTGTGCGCTGTCTTGGGGAGGGTTGTGGGGGCGAAGGGGGAGAAAAATTTTAAACTCAAAAGCATATGGAAGTGATTATTGACAAGTCAAAATAAATTAATAATAAATAATAAATTATTTATAAACTATTATAATATAAATTATTAATAAACAATAAATAACAAAAATGGCTTTTAAAAAAGCAAATTTTACCATGGCATTCCCCTGGTCAACCTTAATAGTTCGATAGTTACAGGAACAACTTCAAACTTCTTTGGCATTTAAAACCTTTCAATAACCTGGCTTCAACACATCTTTCCAGACTTGTTACATACTGCTCCCCTTTAATCTTATGTTCCAGCCACACTGGTTTACTTGTTGTACCCTTACACAGGCACAGGCCTGTGCTTTTTTACAAGTTGTTTCCTCTGGAAAGCTCTACCAGTTAACCTTAGTCTCTTGTAATTTCTAGCTGTAGTCAAGGCTGAGCTCAAATGCCACCTCCTATGTGAAGCCTTTCCACATTTCCCCAACTGTTAATGCTTCTCCTACTCCTGAAATTGTTTTAAGTTACTTATCTGTGTATGTATTGTTTCCCCCCAAGTAGAATACAAGCTGCTTTAGGGAAAGGGCTGTTTTCATTTCCGTCTGTATCTCCAAGTGTCTAGGTCTGTCACACAACAGTTCCTCAATAAATGCTTGTTTCAAGATAGATTCCTTCTCCCCTCAAATTTTCCCCATCCCTTGTAGGTCTTCTTAGATTCACTTAACCAGTAACTTCCACGGCATTTAATGCTGCAGAGGCCTAACCCTTCCCATACATAGTCGTGGCACTTACATTTACATAATGTCTGAGATTCATTTCATATTTTCCTCACAACAACCCTAACTGGTAGTAGCTATATTTTGGTCCCCTTGTTCCATCCCTGAGAAAAACACTCTTCCTACTTCATGAATGGACAGCAGGCTTGGGAGACAGAACTGGGTCCTACTGGAGTGACTGAATGTGCAAGTCTGGGTCCCAGTTTCTTCCTCTGCTAAAGGGTCAGGACTATAGACCCAGCGAGGACATCCTGAGAATCTGAGATTCTGAAAAACCTGGTTTCTCTCCCCCAAGTGCCTAGCTAATACAGCTTCTGACCCACCGACGGGTATTGGGCAGAGCCTGGTCGGAGACCTGATACTTACTCTTCCTGGAGCAACTTCCCCTTGCTGCTCTTCCTGGGGCACCCCACCCTTTGCTCTTCCCAAGACATCTCTCTTCCCGACCCCAAGAGACTCCCCCCACCTTGCTGTTCTCTCCCTGCTCTCCTCAAAGCATCACCCACCCCCCGCTGCTCTTCGCGGGCACCCCTCCTCCCCGCCGGCCCTCGCAGGCTTCCCGGCCTCCCCGAGGCTCGCTCACTGTTTGCCGTAGTTGCCCCCCACGGGTTTGGGCGCCAGCTCCTCCCCGGACAGGGAAGACTCGGACTCGCTGTCCGAGCCGGTGGTGAAAAACCGCGACATGGCGGCGGGTGCTCAGGCAGCGGCAGGCCGGGCGGGACGCGGACCTAGGCCTGGGGACGTGAGAAAACGAAGTCGGTGAGAAGGACCGCCCCTCGCCGCCCTCCGCGAGAACGAGGGGCACGGGAGGCTCTGAGGGGGGTCCCCGCGAGAATTGCTCCCACTTCGGCCGCCTCCCCAGGCTCGGACGCTGAGAACACGCGCCCGAAGTCGCCTCTTACCCGATCGAGCTCCAGAGGAAAACTGCGCAGAAGCGAATGATGAAACGCCAGGCCAGTGTGTGACGTCACTTCCGCCAGGTCTCAAACACTTCCGGCGGGCGGCTTCGATTCGATTGGATCCCGAAGGAAAAGATGAGGCCGGGAGAAGGTGGGAGTGTCCCTCCGAGAGGGCGGAACAGACGGTACACTATTTATCACAAATTTAAAGATTAAAATCCAATCTCGAGCAATCCCCTCATTTAAGAGGGAATAATAAGTAATGTTATTATAGCGCTTTAAAGGTTGCAGAATGCTTTACAAGTATCCCATTTTACCCTTACAACAACCGGGAGAGGTGGTGCTATTTTAAAACTCACTTTACACATTTTACTCTGAAGATGTCTTAGATCCTTGTATTGCCAGGAAGGGTTAAGTTTATCAATATTAGTCATCACACAACGTGGCTGTTATTGTGTACAACATTCTCTTGGTTCTGCTCACTTTACTCATTTTATACAAGCCAGGTTATTGAAAGGTTTTAAATGCCAAAGAAGTTTGAAGTTGGTCCTAGTCGCTATCGAACTATTAAAGTTGACCAGGGGAGTGCCATGGTAAAATTTGCTTTTTTAAAAGTCATTTTTGTTATTTATTGTTTATTAATAATTTATATTATAATACTTTATAAATATTTATTGGTATGAGAAAATTGAGGCAGATAAAGCGACTTGCCAAGGGTCACACAGCCGTTTTGGTGTAAAATGTCTGAGGTCATTTTTGAACTTGGGTCTCTGCGACTGCAGGTCCGATGCTTTATCCGCGGCGCCACCTAGCGTTCTCTGGAGGGAAACCAGCCCAGGACTATTACAGAGGACTTGCAAGTGGCAAATTAACGTGGGGAACCTCGGCGCTTGGAAAACTGGTCTGGAAGGACACTTAGGTTTGTCCTAGGAACGAAGAAGTCTGCACTACCTTTTCCTTTTTTCCTGGTGTAATTACCGAAAAGTAATGTGTTTTTTTTTTTTAAACAAAGACTCTGGAATGATAAATCTCAAATTAGTAGAAACCCAAATGAAATTGTTCTCTGTTTGTCCCCTTCTCCAGTCTAGTACAGTGTTGAATAATAGTGATGATAATGGACATCCTTGTTTCACCCCTGATCTTATTGGGAAAGCTACTAGCTTATCCCCATTACAGATAGTGCCTGCTGATGGTTTTAGATAGATGCTACTTAAGTCATGTAATCATCTTCCTGATGTCATGGGCCTCTTCCAGAAGGAAGAACAAATCACAACCTGTGAGTAGTCTGAGCTGCCCTAATGGGGACCCAGCTGGCCAATTCCAGTTGGGCAACTCAGCTGTCTTCCCCTCTCATTCCCTCCCCTCCTCTCCCCTCTCCTCTTCTCCCTTCCACTCCTGGTGTTCTGCCCAAAGGACGGTAAATTTTGATGGCTGAAATCTATCTAGTTATCTGGGGAGTTACTGGCTAGATTTCTTTCTTAAAGATCATGCCTTAAAAACTCAATTCACTCAGGCCTTCGTTGATTGGACAACAATAGGTCCCTGCCCAAGCACTACTTAATGATTATTTTTTGGGTCCTGCTGGCTCAGAGTGAATGTATAGTAATTGGGTTTTTTTTTTTTTTTGGTTTGAAACCCTGTGAGGGTCTTCCCTTCCCTGTTTGATTTTTTTTTTAAAGGAGTCATCCTTTGACTCACTTCCTAAACAGCTCTAATCACTGAATGGGCATTGCTTTACTCAAACTGAGAACTCAGAAAGACCTTAGCTTTAAAAGGCCAAGATCTCCCACTGCATCTTGGGCCATCTCCAGTCATCCTTATCTATAATATGGACACTGGACCCAGATGGCTCTGGAGGAGAAAGTGAGGCTGGTGACTTTGCACAGCCCTCCCTCACTCAAATCCAATTCAATTGCAAGTCATGTCATCATCTTCCTGATGTCACTGTGCTCTTCGAGAACAAAAGACAAACCATACATACCACAAAATTTAGCCACTTGTCCCATCCCTTGCCAAAATTAAACACAGTATTACTTCCATCAACACCTCCCTGAGCTTTCCCCCACGCACACCCCTACGCTCCCACTGCCAGAAACCACTGAAATCAATTTAAACAAAATGTCTAATCTCAACTGTTATTTGTCCTTCATTGTCCAAGAGGACCATAACTTCAGGAAGATGATGCCATGACTTACCAGTGAATTGGATTTAAGTGAGGGAGGGCTGTGCAAAGTCACCAGCCTCACTTTCTCCTCCAGAGCCATCTGGGTCCAGTGTCCAGATTATAGATAAGGATGACTGGAGACAGCCCCCTAATCTCAACTGGCCCCTCACTGAATGGTAATCCTTTTTGACTCCCTAATTTTCCATAGGTCTCCCAACAGCAGCTATTCCAAACCTTTCTCCCCACTCTCCTACTTGGTAATATCATCAGCTCCGATGGATTTAATTACCATCTCTATGCTGATGAATCTCAAATCTACTTATCCTGACCCAGACTCTCTGCTGACTTCCAATTTTGCATCTCCAGCCACCTTTCAGACATCTTAAATTCAATATATCCAAAATAGAACATTATCTTTCCCCCTACTTCCCCCAAATTTTCCTTATTACCACTATTCCAATCTCTGAAACTCATAACCTAAGAGTTATCCTCGATTCCTCTTTCTCTCACCCCTTTTCATCAAAGCTGTTGCCAAGTGCTGCTAATTTCACCTTTGTAACATCTCCCAAATAAGCCCCCTTCTCTCCTCTGACACTGCCACCACTCTGGTACAGGCCCTCAGTACTCCACACCTGGATTATTGCAGTAACCTTCTGCTGTTCTGCCTGCCTCAAGTCTCTCTGGACTCCAATCCATCTTCCATTCAGCCACTAAAGTGATTTTCCTACATCACAGGTCCATGCCATGGCCCCCACTCAATAAACTCCAGTGACTTCCTGTTGCCTCCAGGATCAAATATAAAATGCTCTGATATTCAAAGTTCTTCATAACCCAGCCCCTCCTACCTCTTCTTATGCCTTACTTTGGTATATATGGACCCCCTACCTTGTAAATCTCAGCTGGAATAAATCAGCACCAGGTGCTTTGCCACAGGAAAGGAGCCTAATGGCATTCAAAACCTTCTCTTCACTTGGAATTTCATCTAGGGAGGAACTGATTTCAACCTGAGGTAAATGGTCAGTGGCCTCAGCATTGATTGATGATGGTCTGTTGAGAACACTATGGAAGTATTAAATCCATCTCTCTAGGTTCATATCCTTATCATTAATCAATGTGGCTCAATCAGCACTGAGTAGTTGAGATGCACCATAGATCAAGAGCACAACTCCGATGGGCTGGCCACATTGTTTCAATGCAAAACCTACACTTGCCAAAAAGACTATTTTATGGAGAACTCACACAGGGCAAATTATTCGCATGGTCGTCAAAAGTGATACAAGAACACTTTCAAGGTCTCTCTTAAAAACTTTGGAGTTGATTGTGTGACATGGGAGACACTGGCACAGGACAGCTCAACATGGCATGCCCACATCAAAGAAGCTGCTGTGCTTTATGAGCAAAGCAGAATCGAAGTAGCTCAAAGGAAATGCAGGATGTGAAAATTTAGAGACTCACCCCAAATGTTCACACAGACTATTTGTGCCCAACCTACAGTAGAGCATTCTGACCTCGTATTGGTCTGATCAGCCACAGACACACTGAAACTTGTCATAGTGATGTCATTTTGGTCTTCTTCGAGAACAAAGGACAACAACCAACCAAATATGCTAAGCACTGGGGATAAAAAGAAAGGTAAAATCACAGTCCCTGCTCTCAAGTTCATGTTCCAATGGAGGAGACAGCTTGCAAAAAAGCATACATACTACACATACACATGCATATACACACATATATACACAGTGTTAAGTGGAAAGTATCTGAGGGGAAGGGCTAGCCACAGAGAAGAGAAGGGAAGGGAAGGGAGGAAAGATGGGGAAGGACTTCTTCATAAGATGGGATTTGAGCTGAATCCTGAAGGATGCTAGAGAAGCTAGGAGGCAGAAGTGTAGAGGGAGAGCATTCCAGGCATGGAGGAGCTAGAATATCGAGTACAGAACAATAAGCGTAGCTAAATTGAAGAGTGTGTGGAGAGAAGTAAGTGTAACAAACTGAAAGTAGGAAGGGGCCAGGCTGTGAATAGCTTTATTTGCCAAGTGATTTTATATTTGATACTGGAGGAGTTAATAGGAAGACCCTGGATTTTATGGGGCACATTTAGGGCTCATATAGTCAGACCTACACTTTAGAAAAATTATTTTATTGGCTGAGTGGAGAGATTGATCATCACTATCAAAGACTGCAAAGAGGTCAAGAAGGATGAGGATTAAGGAAAGGTTTGGCAGTTAAGAGATCATTGCTATCTTTGGAAAGAGCAATTTCAGTTGAATTAAGAGGTCAGAAGCTACTAGACTACAGAGGATTTGGAAGCAAGTGAAAGTAGTCACCCTCTGCTACTCATACTTCTTGACCCAAATTATCTATCTAGGTACCAAATCTTGTCAATTCTGTTTTCATAACATCTCCCCCACCAGTCCTATTCTCTCTACTTATCACCTTTCACCCCAGTACTACAATAGCTTCCTCAATGGATTCCCTGACTCTTCTCTCCTCTTTCTACTCTATCCTTCACACAGATGCCAAAGTAATTTTCCTAAAGCACAAGGGTCTGACCAGGTCACTCCCCTCAAAAAGCTCCAGTGGTTTCTTATTACCTCTAGGATAAAATGCAATCCTTGACAATCTAGTTCCAACCTATTTGTCTAACCTTATCATACGTAGATCACTGTCACACATCCTTTGGTCTAG